AATCATCTTCTTGATAACACACAGACGTACTTTGTATTTTTTGAACTTATCTCATGTCTTCTGGCCTGCAAGCGGGTGACTTTCCCCTGCAGGCCCATCTTCTCCAGAATTGTCCTGATCACACACAACAAATAAGAGAAGAGAGGAAACCATGACAACCATGTTAATCCCTAAACCCAAAGGTTTTCACAGCAGAGGAACGCCGTCTGGACATCACAGGTTCTGCACAGCAGCGGTCCGTGAGTCGTTTGGTACCGGGCCACGAGAGTTGAGGCTCCGCTGTGAAATTTATGGTTTTCAGGGTTTGTATCGTTAACTCGGTTTCCCTGGGTCTTTCCCTTGTTGTAGTTGTGCGTCTTATTTTGAAAGAAATATTTACACGTTACCATAGCGACCAGAGAGCATTAAGCGGCAGAGAGGAGGACGTTACTGTCAATGTTGGCGCATTTCAGGAGGACGCTGCTAATAAAGTTACACAATTACACAGTACATTCACGTTTATTATTATATTTACAAAATACCACAGTTTTTGTCCTGGTCAGATCATTTTATGTGGTTGTATTTATCCGCGACACCTTAAAGGCTCCGTGTCTGACATAAACCGGTCTGTGGCGCACCAAAGGTTGGGGACTGCTGCTGTGCAGCATGAGGGTTAATGGGACCGTACTCATATGAATATGATGTGTAAAGTGATTTATTCTTGTACATCCACGCCGTAGCGGCCCAGTTCTTCACCCCAGTGAAGAGGTGATCGTTTTCTCCTCGTTTTCATAAATTAAGCATTTGGTCTTTGTTCCCCACAACATATCACCAATTCGAAAAAATCTAAATTAGCTGTATGTAAGCGGCAATACATGGAAAACCGCGGGACCTTGCTTCCTTCCCCTGAATTCGGACACAGCCAGTGAATGAGAGACAGAAGGGAAACACAGTTGGGGCAAATCAGGGCTAACGAGACAGGGGAAGCAAAACCTGATACAATAACCTGAGACACGGACTTCAAAGTGAAACGGGAAACATAACACAGAGACGCGGACTTGACAAGGGCACACAGCAGCCAGGGGAGTAACTATGGAACACAGAAACCAGAAGACAGCGCTCTAATAAAGAAACCAAAGACTAGAAATGATATCAAAGTTCATAAATAACACAAAACTGAAAACCCAGGCACCCGAACACCTCCCCCTGATTCCCAAACTACCTCAGCTGTCTTTTTGGGCTCTACTCTGAGCACCTCTTGGATGACTGAAGGGTGGCTAGTCCTCTTTGGATGAGACCTGCCACCCTTTAGACAAAGCTCATTTCTGCTCTCTTTGTGATCTCATTCGTTCTGTCAGTTTTCCCACCTTCTAGGTTTCTTGTGGGTTCTTGGGTGCAGCGATGGCCTGGGATGCTGCTGACACGGGCTCTGGGTTCTCTCTCAGTGGGTGGTATATAGGAAATATGACTCTTTGTGCTGGCTCTCTCCTTCTGGGAGTCTTAAACATCCTGAACCCTTTCCTTTCACCACTTCCTCTGAAAACACATCACTCACACACAAGGTATGAGTGGGAGGAGCACAAGCTACGTAGGGCGATGCACATGGATTTGATGGCCGCGCTGTGTGTCCATCTGTCCCCATTTCCCATTTTTCAACCCTGTCTGGGACCAGGGTTGGTTGGAGCACCTGTCCATCCTCAAATCACAGGGTGTGGTGGATGTCTTTGTGCAGCTTCTGTGTGTCTGTGTGTGTAGCTAGATCTGGGTTGGAGGCTCACTGAGCCTCGGTCCCTGTGAGAAACTGTCATTGAGAGTGGGGGTGGGGATTCACCTCCTACCGTTCCCCACTCGGCGTTGCTCGTTTTGGATGGTTGCTGGCCTGCTCTCCTGGGGGTTGTGGTCCGAGCCGAGGTGGCTTGGCCTTCTTCTTTTATGTGAAACCGTGTCTGCAATTTCATAAGCACATACTGTATTTCTACTTTAATCCATTATGTTGGAAGTGGCTTGATCTTCTGAAGTTACCCAGGGATTAGCAGTTAGGCTGCACAAGCACTGATGCTCTTTTCCTTTACATCTGCCAGCTGTGTGTAGAGTAACCTGTACAGTTTTGTGGTAGAACGTTGCAAAACTGGTTTTACAGACAGGATTAAGTTTTTACACTCCAGTGTTAGTGAGTGAAGGTTATCCTTTGAATCAGCACGTCTTTAGCCACAGGAACCTTTTTGAATAGCCCCAGGTCTTTATCAAAGGACAGAATCCATTTATCTCTGGTTATCATGGGCAAAGTCACATTTGAAACACTTCCATCTCTGTCTCACCAAACTACCCTAATCAAAGAAATCAATACCAGCTGAGTATAACTGTGAGCTTTATGTTATATGTTTACTGTTGTAAACTGTGAGTGGTGACAAACTGGGTTCAACACTGTGCAGGACTCCAGCAGCTGTGCTGCAAAGCCGGCTGATTTGGTGGTGATTAGGTAGCTAAAAGACTTCAACAGTGGTTATAAGAATTATTTAAAAAAGTAAACGAGAAAGACAAACGTGAGGTGAGATGGAGCTGCCTCTGGCTCTAATGCAAACTTGTGTAAGTGAATCAGAGGCTCTCAGTGCTTCGAAGTTGTTTATTCATTCCTAACGAAGTACGACAGAAGGTCAGAGGGACAGGCGAACACATCTGTGGTGTAAACCTGAAATCATGCAGCTGCTCAGAGTGCTGTACACGGGTGTGCGTGACAATGAGTAACCATGGTTACAAAAACTCTCATCATCCACAGAGAAAGAGCTCAGGTTATTATATCCCTGCAAAATCAAGAATGCGCAATACTTCAGCATTAGTGTTGTAACATTAATAACACTGACACTTTTAACAAGCTTATCTCTGACTCCAGAGGAAATAACGTGTGCACTGTGTCACTGCTGTACCTTAAGGGGATGGTTTTGCAGTTTTCCTCTTTACATTTTATTTAATGTGTCCAAAGTTATTCTTCCTGTTAAAACAAACTTTTCCCTTCCCATTGTCACCCAGTGCTTTCTCAGTTCAACATAATTCATTTAAGTTGAATATCATTAAACTGCGTGGACACAGAATCGTGCTAATTACTGCCGAGTAACATAGAAACCTACAGTTTCACTCACCAATCTGTAGAAGGGAGGGTTTCTGTAAAGCTAACCACACAGCAAAATATCAGCTGTCAACCAGTAACAGAGCATGTGTTTGGGATGTGGTGGGATGGGACATTTTGGCTTGTGCCTAACAAAGAAGGACAAAAGTGGCATTGAGTTCAATTAGTCATTCTAATTAGGTTTTATTTGGTTTTATTTAAGAAGGTATGTTCAGTCTGTTTTTTTTTCTTTTGGCAAGTTCAGTGTTCAACAAATAGTTTCAGAAATGCAAATGAAGATGTTGCTTGAAGACGTTTCACCTCTCATCCGAGAAGCTTCTTCAGTTCTAAGGTCAAATGGTGGAGAGTCCCAGATATAAACCTAGTGGGAGT